ACACAGCTAATTGTCTTACAGTTTGCAGTGGGCTATGGACAACTGTGCTATCTTAAGGCCTTCTCTGTATTTCTAGATTCTACATACCTCTCAGAAAGACACAATCCCTAATACATGATAGAACAAATGAAAGCAGAACTTGGAAGGGTGTTTTAGAATAAACAGGAGACTTGGTCTCTCCTTGGGCTATTCTTGGGTTATCCTTCTGTACTGAGCAAAGAAGCACTAGTAGAAGCAAATAAAACTGGATTTGAAGTTAACTCATCCAGGTTAAATTCCAGCCCCATCAAATGTAGGTGCCTGATGATATAGAAATGAATACTTTGTATTGGTATGGATTTTGATTTGTTGACACAAATTTAAGGTTAATTTTGTTATAGGTATATTTCTATTCTTGTCTAGCTATTATGTTTATACAGCTCATTTAAAATGTAATATATAATTAAATACAGATTTTATATATACATATATCACTCATAACAGTCAAAACTTAAGTTTCCTAGATATACAGAGATATATTTGAGATGGATATTCTTCCAACCTTTCAAAGACTTGCAGAATATTGCATTTAAAATAGTTTATTGGGGGTTTTCATGACAATAACATAAAACTACTCTTGGTAACACTAATTACATCAGAGAGGAAGATGGGTATCAAAGAAACTAGTTATGGAGTTTGCTTTCAGTGTGGCAAAACTGGCCTATTGGACAAGAAACTGCTCTTGTCTGGATTGCTTGACAGTTTGTTGTCAAACTGGACATGCAGGACCCACAGGAAAGTGAATGCTGAACTTGCCAAAACAAAATGGGAGAGTCCTTCATGGTTCCTGATTCATGTTAGAGTCTGCCAGAAATTCTGCAGGGCACAGAGACTCATGAATGACAAACTGTCAATATAGGCAAGCCAGTTTCAAATTTCCTGTTTTGCTGAGAACTCTGCCAGACACTGTAGGCCTATAGGCTGAAGATGGATGCCCCAACATTACAGAAGAACTTTGGGTGACTGTCCAGGCAATAAGATGTCTCTGCCAATTCTAGAGTTTGTATATTATTATTCTGTGGTCTTTGATGGAGTTTAAGACATAGTTATGGGTATGGTTTTATTTAGCTATGATAAAAGTTAAGTTACACATAAAACTTTAGACTCAAAAAGATAGGATAGAAGATAGAATATTTTCTTTAAATTTTGCCAAATGTTAATGGACTAAATATTGTTAACTATAATTCTTGCTTGATAACTGTTTTGTTATATATAATTTTACTATGTTAAAGTTAAAACCTTCCTTTTTATTTAGACAGAAAAGAGGAGATGATGGGGAATGTCCTTCTGTATATATGTTTCTCTTATAGGTTGATGAATAAAACACTGAATTCCAGTAGCCAGGCAGGAAGTATAGGTGGGGCTACAAGATGAGAAGAATGTTGGGGAGAGGAAGGCAGAGAGGAGCCACCAGGAAGATGCCGTGTAGCTACCTGGAAGAGTACACTGAGAATTCTCCGGTAAGATAAGTCCATGTAGAAATACATAGATTGGTAGTTATGGGTTAATAATTGAGAAAATGCTAGCCAGTAAGAAGCCTAAGCCATCTGATAGTTTATAGTTAATATAAGTCGCAGTGTGTTTATTTGGGCCTGAAGGGTGGCAGGACCAGGTGGAACAGAAACTCCATTTAGAGAAAGAACTGCTTGTAGAGAGAAGCCTTTTCCTGGCCAGCTGCTTTGGTTTTTCCCCACCAGTCACCTAGGCTCTGCCACATTGTAGTCCCCAAATAACACACAAGACACTGTATTAATTATGGAGCTGTTGGCCTTGCTTGTTTCTTACTGGCTAGCTCTGACTTAAGTATTTAACCCATTTAAGTATTTCTCTTACCGGACGGACATCTTAATTCTCTGGCAGGCTACATGATGACTGACTCCCTGTGTTTCTCCTACCCAGAGTCCTTCTGGACTCCTAGTCACACCTATCTTGCTTCCCTATTGGCCAAAAGTGTTTTATTGACATATACACAGGACTTCCCCATCATCTCCTCTTTTCTGTCTAAAAAAAAGAAAGGTCTTAACTTTAACATAGTCAAATTATATATAATAGAACAGCTATCAAGCAAGAGCACAGTTACAACATTTTGTCTGTCAACATTTAGCAAGATTTAAAGAAAATATCATCCATTCCATCCTTGTGAGTTCAAAGTTCTATATGCAGCTTATCTTTTATCATAATTAATGAAAACTATGATGATAACTATTTTTCTTCAACTCCATCAAAGACCACAGAAGAATAATACATAAACACTAGGATTGACAGAGACATCTTACTGCCTGGACAGTCACCCGAAGTTCTTTTGTAACGTTGGGGCATCCATCTTCAGCCCATAGGCCACAATGTTTCCAGAAGCTTTCTAAACAAAGCAGGAAATTTCAAACTGTCCATCTGCATTGGCAGTCTGTCAGTCATTTTTCTGTGTCCTGCAGAAAGTCTCATAGACTCTTCCATGAAGTAGGAACCCTATAGGACTGTTTGAGTTCAGCAGTTACTTCCCTGTGGGTACTGCATGTCCAGATTATAAAACAACAGTCAAGCAGTCCAGGCAAGAGCAGTTTCTTGTCCAAGTGGCTAATCTTGCCATGTTGAAAGCAACTCCATAACAAGTTTCTTTGATGCCCATCTTCCTCTCAGACATAATTGGTGATGCCAGGAGCAGACATTTCCCATTGTCAAGAAAAACCCTAACCCATTTTAAATGCCATTTTCTGAAGGTCTTTGAAAGGTTTGAAGAGTATCTATCTCAAATATATCTCTGTATATCTAGAAAACCTAACTTACCTAACTATAAGATCTATCTTATATATAGTTACTTATCTATTATAAGTAACTATCTATAGTCTGTATTTAATTATGCATTATGTTTTAAAAGATTAGTATAAACACAATACTTAATCAAGAGGAGAAATATACATATCATAAAATTGACCTTGAATTTGTATCAATAAATGAAAATCCATACCAATACAAAGTAATCATTTCTATACCATAATCCCCTTTTTCCTTTAAAAAGAGATTGGTTGTGATCATTAACCAATTATAAGCAACCCCATTCAAATGAAAACAAAGATTTATAAACAATATGGGGATTTGGACATCGCTTATTCCAAACTGCTTTGTGTTGGCGCTGTTCATGGGGATCATGACAAAACTCAGAAACCTGTATAAGTCCTTATTTTCATGGTCTGTAAGGCAGCGTCATCTTAGCTGTTTTAGATGTTGAATCACTTGGGCCATTGCTTCCGGGGGTCTTGGTTCATCAAACCACAGAAGCCTGGAAAGAATCCTCAGCTTTTCATTGTCCGTGGAAACATAAACAAAAACTCTTTTCCAAAGTAACATATCCTTATACTTAAATTTTGAAGTCAAGGCATTTTTAAAAGATATAAACTGGATTAATTCAGCAGCATTTATAATCAAGTGTACTTTAGTAATTGTTCCTTCCTTAGCGATCAAAAAACTGAAAAACATAATAGCATACAGTATCCATCTTTAAGTGGATTATTTATTTATCTATTATTACTATTATGACTTCAGTCTGGAAACCAGGATATGTGTTACATTGGGGAAGGGGTTTTGCTTTCATTTCTACAGGAGAAGAAAAACTTTGGGTTCCATCGAAATTAATTTAGATTTGATCAGAACAGAAGACATCTCAGGAGGAGGAAAGATAACAGCTCATCTACAAAATCATATTCTATCATGGGTAAAGTGACCTCATAAAAGGAAAGAGAAATGTTTTGTTTTTTTGTCTTCACAGGTATACTCAGCAAAGAATACTGGATGTATGGATTCCTGAAGAAGAATGAATAGCTATCCTGAGGACCATCAAACAAACAGTAACTCACTGTGTGGTATCAAAGTCTAAATTTCTTTATATTGTTTTTTATAATAACCTTTAATCTTTGTTTCTTCATATACTTTAGTCCCCATTCATTTAACTGAAGCTGGCTTTGGAGATGGATTGGCTCTCCTACTGAAAATTCAAGCATATTATTTAAATAAACTTCAAAATTTCTGTATTATATCAAAGAGCCATTGATATAAGACAGAAGAAAATAAAATTAGGGACTGTTACTTGTGGATTTCTTCTGCAAAGTCTAATTTCCTTCATGTTTGCCATCTTCCCTATTGTCACCTCTTCCAGTATGCATACATATAAAAGTTAAAATATTTCTTTGTTAACATTAATGTTTGAGTTTTCCAGAGAACAAGGGATTTCCTGGCAGCAATCTTCAACTGCTTCAAAAAGAGAATGAGGATCCACTTCCTTGACTCCACCTGATTCGACTGGATGCATCTGAACTGCCCCACATCATCAACTCCACCTGACAAGCACCATCCTGAACCTGGCTTGAAACTACATCACTTGACACAACACCAGACCAACGAACTGAAACAGCACACTTTTTACAATCTGGCCAGAGCTTCAGATGAGAGCTTCACTCAACACTAGAACTCCAGTCTGGAACTTCAGTCAAGCATCTCATGCCAAACAGAGACTGTCTGATCTACTGAAGATTTTGTTAGACTAACATTTTTCTTCTCACAGGTTCCCATGAGATTGTCATCATCCCATCTCAGCAGGAAGTAGTTTTGAGAATTCCACGCCCCCTCTCCCTACTCTTGATATTATAGGATAGTTTACACCTGTTAGTGTTAGTTTTCAATTATTTAAGAGTTGGGACTGGAAGGAGGTGTTCAGACTTGGGTGTTTCTTTCAGATAAGCTTAGGTTTAGATGGGATAGATGTTTAGGGCATTTTGTTCATTGACACAAGTTAGTTGCTTTAAGTTTAAATATCCTTTTTAGACTAAAAGGGGAATTGTAGGGGGAAATTTAGTACTCTGCCATTAGCTATGTGTCATATTAGCGGCACATACAGATGAGGTAATAAAAGAGAGGTTTACCACACCACTAACCACACCCACTTTAGACATGACTAAAGACGTATATGGACATAGGCGGTGAACTACGTCATTAGCCAGGCCCACTTTTGGGCATGGCTAGGGGTGTTACTGAGGAAGGTATAAAAGACTAAACAGCAGACGTCTCGCTACTCTTTCTGGCTTTCAGGCTTCCAGTTTGGCGATGGAAAACTACTCAGCTCATCTGGATTACTTGTTTGTCTCTTGTGAGTAATTACTACAATAAATACTTACTTATACTTTCAGTAAGTGTGCCGGTTATCGTTGCAGCATCAACTGCTCATGTATCTGTGAGTGGCAGGGGATTGTTTTGTTTGCTGGCTGTTGGCCACTTCTCCATAGGACTGCTCAGGACAGGGAGAATCAATAAGATGGGCTATAGTCTTTGATTGGTTAAAAGCAAATTACCAATGCCGAGGAGATGGCTCAGTGGGTAAAGTACTTGCTGCGCAAGCCTGATGACCTGAGTTCGGATCCCCAAACTCACGTAAAAGCCACACACAGCAGCCCAGCTCACCTCCCCTGGGTCATAGAGATGGAGATGAGAGTCTGCTAGAGTCCCACAGGTCAGCCTGCCTCAGGCAAAGTGGAAGATGAAGATCGAGACTGGATATTGTCCCCTTCACTCTACATACTGGATATTGTCCTCTCCCCTCTATGCAGTGTCCCCCTCTCACACAAAGAAAACTGTGCCCACACTCAAGCAGATATAATGGAACAGCACATGAACGTCAATAAATGCAGGTCATGGAGGCCAGCTGAGGACGTGGAGATCAGCTGAGGCAAGCATAGAGAGTCTTTCGCTTATGTTTTCACAGAATCCCCAGTTCTCAGAATAGTACCTTGCTTAATGTAGTTCCTCAGTAAATAAACATGTTGAATAAAAAAATAAGGAGAGTGCCATGGTGGCATGTGTCTGTATCCTCACAACTGGCGAGGCTGTGGCAGGATGATTGAGAATTCAACACCAGGCTGGGCTACATAATGAGTTCCAGGCTAGCCCAAACTATGGATTAAAACCCTGATTCAAAGAAAACAAAAAATAGAGTGTGGGAAGGTGCACAATGAGGTTTTGCTAAGTCAGATAGGCCTGAATCAAGTCCCTGTGCTTGCTTCCTCATGAGGTACTCAGGGCCCAGTCTTGTTCATGTCTTTTTGTGTGTGTTTGGAAACAGGAATGAGTTAAACACCCAAAGTTAGTCAGAAACAGATATGATGTGAATGTACCCAGGTTGTTGTCTTATTCTTGGCAAGTTTGAGTGCCACCAAACAGACATGAACACAATAATGTCACTGCTTCTGCCTGGCCCTGGGATATCTTGGATTTTCCCCTGTGTGCAGCACCAAAATAAATGTGTTTGAAAGTGCTGCTCACAGGCATCTCAGTGAGCATTTAAACTCTTCTTGCTTGAGGAAGACTTAGGAGCTAATGCTTCCCTACAGGCAACAGTTATACTGATGGATAGGGTAAATAAATTCATTAATAAAAGAAAAATATGAAAATTTAAAATAAATTATATGAGACAATAGAAGAGAGAAATAACAAAAGAAATCCAACTAAATTCAGTCTCAACCCTCAGCCTTTTATTATGAAGGAAGACTGAGCCTCAGGGCTGGTCCTTGGGCTGTTCAGGGAGAAGTCTGTGTGCTGAGCTCAAGTCCCTGTGGGCATTTAGGTGCCTACTCTGTGATGAACTTTATTTGAGGGCAGAGCGATTTGTTGTCTGAGCTTGTTAGAGGCCTGTATAGACAGATGGTAGTTAAGCGTTTGGAAAATCAACTTTGTCCTGAGATTGATGTATGGCTAAGGGTGACAAGGGCTCTGCTTTTCTTCACAACAGCTGGAACCTGGTAGGAGAGTGACTTTGTGGGTAAATAGATTTAGGAGTGAGCCAGATCCATGCCACCGCAGGAGTATATGCTGTATGAACACCCGTTTCAGTGTAAACAAGGTCCAAACAATGGCAGGCAGGCCTGACTAGTTTCCACATAACATGTGTGTTTCAAAGGACCTTGGAAGAAGGTATTCATGGGTAGTGGTGGGGGGCAACATCAATGCTTGGAGGAAAGAAGCAGATTGAAATCAATGAGAATTGATTCAGGGTGTGGGGGCTACTGTGTTAAAATCTTCTACCTCTTGATAGAGTTTCATGAATATTAACAAGGCTAAGATCAATAATGAGCTGATTTTCAGATGCAAGCCTGACTTCTCCATCTGCAGATTGAAGGGATTTCCTTCTGCACCATTCCCACTCCTACTCTGTGAACCTAACATGAAAAAGCCCAAATGAAACTTGATTGGGTCTCCTCATGCAATGTTACATGCATCTTTACTCATTGTGATTATATCCAGCATGGTTCATACTTGAGGCACATGCATGTGTATGCATGCTCATGTGTGTGTGCATATGTGTGTGTGTGCGTTCATGATCCCTTCATCTATTGACTCATGTCTCGCATCTATCAATTTTCTTCATGATCACCCTGAACCCTCTTTATGTACTGCTTCAGCATTTGCTATGATCTCATAATTGGCGTGTGACTTTCCATCTTGTATCTCCAAATCACTATGATGACTATTTTTCTAAAAATATGATTCAAACAAGTCTAGCTGCTGGTGAAGAAGCTGGCACAAACATGTCTGGACAGTATCTTTGGGGTACAGAGATTGTAGCCAGGCACAATCCCCATAACTATATAAAAATAAAAATCTGTCACACATTTCCTCTTGCTTTTAGGATGATGCCTAACTCTTTCGACCAATGCTGAACACCTGTCAAATTCTAGGCTTCACATGTAACTGAACTACATACATAATCCCTCAAATGTTGCACTCTTCAGATGGAGCTAAGGGTGGGAATGAATTAGTACCAAGAAAGTTTGTAGGAGGAAGGACACTGTAGGCTGACATTGCACTAAATGTAAAGGACTGGTATAGAAAAAGTTAGATATATTAGAAGTATACCTAAAGATTCTCTCTCTCTTTCTCTCTCTCTCTCTCTCTCTCTCTCTCTCTCTCTCTCTCTCTCTCTCTCTCTCTCTGTGTGTGTGTGTGTGTGTGTGTGTGTGTGTGTGTGTGCATGCATGCGTACTTCTGTGTTGCATATTGAACAGTGGTTTTTGGCTATAGAACACCCTTCCTATTTGAGGTCAGACTGAATGATCACCACAAATAAAACAAGGTACCATAGAAGATTCTAGACATTTCATGGTAGGTATTAATCATTGTGATGATTTAGAGTGAGCACAGACAGAAGCTAGAAGTCTATCGCAGCTCACTGAGAGTGAAAGTGAGAATCCTGAGCCACTTCCCTCAGACTTGATGTTCAAACACGCATGACCTTGACTTCTGCTGGCCAGTGTGATAGTCTGAGGTCAGTGCTCCTCCCCCAGAGCTCCGAAGCATCTGCTTCTCTGGTGCCTTTCAATGAGGTCAAACACTTCTCGGAAGACTACTTGTCGGGAATTCCTCCTGCCCTGGGTGTGGACTGGGTCGTGTTCATTTAGCTAACTTCCATTATCGACTGACCCTTCTTATTTCCTGCTGAGATTTATTGGAACTTCAGAGATGGAGATGTGGCCTGGGTCTGGATCCTCTAAGATGCTCATTTATAGCTCACCAAGAGATTTTCTCCCAGCTCTGTCTTCTGGTTTTCTCATAGCTCAAGAACAGAGCAGTCTATGTGCTATCAAGCCCCTTTTGCAGATGTTGAAACAAACCATTGTCCATATGTTGTAAATGACACCCCAGCCGCAATGTGAATGGAGATGGGCTTGGTAAACTAGAGTCTTCTGCCTAATTAGCCTCCTGATTCCTGCCTTCATGTCAGCTCCCAGGTTCTCAAGTTGAAGGTTGTATAACAGATAAAGTTGGTTTCAATTTAAAATCCCATTCCCTTAACTCATAATGACACTTAATATTGCTCCACAATCATCTGGTGGACCAGTTCATAGTCTCATCATTCAAGGGATATATCAATTCTTTTTACTTTCCCCAGACCTTGTATCCTAACTTCTTACCAGAGACCTTGGCTCTTGACTACAAGTGGCATTGGCAGAATTGGATAAGCTCTCCATTCTGTCCAGGTGGAGAACACACCAGTCAAGGCTTGCCAATGTGTTGCTGTTCTCCTGCCAGCCATGGTAGGGCAGCTGTGGTTCTGACCCTTCCTATCCTAGCCAGGACTTTACAGACTCTCATCTCTTCCTTCTTGTAATGCAGTCTACAACTCTACCTAGAACTTCCCTACTGAATCTTTAAAATTGAACACTTGGCAGCAAGTCCCACACTTACTGAATCTGTTTCTATCCCATCTCCATAACTCTCTTTACTGTCAGTTTTTCTGAGGACATGTACACACCTGATGACTCCACTCTTCCCTTTTCTCAGTCCATACTAATCTGGTTTTTGTTCTCATCACTCAACAAAAAAGTCAGGATGACCTTTGCAAGTTGATAAATCCAACAGACCGTTATCTGTCATTGTATCCCTGGATGTCTTCATGGAAGTCAACTCTATATAATACCTCTTTTCTCTGGAAAGGCCTGTCCCTTGACTTTGGCAATGTGTGTACATCCCCTCGGTTTTCCTAATGCTTATGAAACATCTTCTCTGTGTCTGTACAAACCCCTCTTGGCTTCCCCATCAGACACAATAGTTGTTCAAAGGTTATTTTAAGACTTTGTCCCTTATCAAATGCACTCTCCCTGTGACTTTAACATCTAAACATTAGAAGATAATCCATTTTTTCTGAGAAAATAACAGTGACTTTTCTCTTTCTATCAAATTGCCCAGTTGGCATTCCCACATGACTCAAAGGTACTATGCCTTCAGCTTTGAGTAGCTATGTTCCCCCCAAAGCCTATTCTTCTCTAAACTGTGGTTCTAAATCTGGAGTGTCCTTCACAAGATGCTGCGGTGGAAACATTGCTTCTATACCTCACTTGGGAAACCTCAATACCTGGCCACTCACTAGGGCAGGTTGTGACTTCTGGGAAACAGCCTCTGAGAGTTTGTATGAGAGATCTTGAGCCTTGTGACTACAAGGAAGTTAAGACCACAGAACTGAGGCTGTGGAGGAGTTGAATGACACTTAGTTGCAACAGCACTTGAGCCAGTCTCACCAGAAAGGACCTCAGAAACATCCCCAACTGATGTGCAGGCCCAAGATTTGTCCCCTCGGCCCTTTACTGCCTATTATCAGAT